CCTTGGAACGTTTTATGAACCCAGGAACACATCACCAAATTATTTACCAAACCGGATCTTTCTATTGACACTACCAGGAGAGAGTGTATACATTTCACCATATATTTGCCAGGAGACACTTTATTTTAAATATTTGCTCTTTGAGTGAGAGTAAAATAAATCTCATCACATTGGAAAAGTCAAGGTCCCAGTTTAGAAGAATCAATTGTTACGTCAACTTGATGGACTACTTTCTGAACATTTTAAAAAAATGGGGAAATACTGTGTTTTACAGCTGAGTGAAAATACAGTTCTTAGAACTGTGCTTAGCTGGAATAACAGTGATGCAAAAAACTGAAACTGGGAAAAAAAACTGAAAAGGAATGCTGATATTTGACAGAAATTTATTGGAGGTGACTCCTCTCTGTGTTGATGTTTATGCAAGAAATAAAATGGATTTTCAAAAAATAGGAAGGTTGTTGAGTATCTAGCTAAGCCAGGCCCTGTGCTGGGTGGTTCGGGATGACTGAAGCGGGGCCTCTGCAACCCAGCACAGCACGCCCCGAGTGTGCTCCTGCGATGTGCCACACCTGCGGACGGGGCCAGGCGGGAAGAGAGCAGGACCTGTTCCTGCCGTCCCGGAGGCACACAGCCTCCTGGGGAGGTGGCTCTAGGACCACAGAGTGCTGAGAAAAAAACTCAGAGGAGGGGCTTCTGACCCAGCCTGGAGGTGAGGGGCAGTCAGGGAAGGCTTCCCAGAGAAGGTGCCCACTGAGCTGAAATTAACAGGACGACAGGGAGAGAAGCGAGGGGAGGGCGATGCAAGCAGAAGTGACCAAATGAGCGAAGGCTGGGAAGTGAGACTCAACCTAGTGTCACCTGGAGACCCATGGGCCCTGGAACCTGCTAGAGCATCAACGTGTGAAGTTCAAGTGGAGGGCAGGGCCTTGAATGCCGCGCTGGGGGTGGTTGAGACTCGATCCTCTTAGCCAGGAGTTAAACTTCTTTGTTCTTAGCACGCTCTCCGAGACTGAAGACCTCAAAGAGCTTTTGTCTCTCTGGATTCCATCATCGGTATTTGCCATAAGAGAAACTAACCCTGAGAAATTTTTAAAATATCTATATTTTGATTCCTTTAAAAATAACAATAATAAACTCATTGCATTTAATAAGATGACAAACTTTTATAAAAATAACGCTACATTCCAAAAACAGCGTCAGCGGAAGACGGCTCTGTTTATGTTTTTTTAAATCTCAGTAATGACTGGCTTAACAGAGGACAGCTGGAGTCTCGCGTCTGCTCTGCCTTCAACCTGTTGCAATCTCCATGTCATGGAGTGCATAGAAAATTCTGCCCGACTCTTGTGAGAGAATGAGAGTAAAGAGGCAAATAGTGTATTTGTATTAATTTAGAATTTGTTTGGCCCTTGCAGACCCCCTGGAAAGGGATTTGGGGAACCCTCAGACCGCACTTTGAGAACCACTGGGCTAGGCGCTAGAAAGCCATGGAAGGTTTCTGACCCAGGGAGAGACGATCTCAGCCCTCAGTTTCTGGAAGTTTCCTCTTGCAGGTGGTGTGTCGGGTGGATTGAAAGGAGACAAAGGCTGTGGCTGGTCCAGGTGGGGCGGGGCGGGAGCTGCTGGGTGGGTAGCTGGGCTGTGGACAGGGACACAGTTGGCTTCCAGGGAAGGGGTGCTCGTGAGAGAGGGATGGCCAGAGAAGCCCCTCCTGTGGTTCACTCTCGCTGAGCCTTTGTCGTCCTGAGCCTGCTGGACTAGGCTCCGTGGCCAGGGCTGATGGCTCAGGGGCCTGCACCCTGCCCTCCTCAGCTTGGGAGGGAGAGGGTGTTGCAGGAAGGAGCAAGACCTCAATTTCGCTTCCAGAAGAGGGAACAAAGTGATTCTCTTTGGCTCCCACCCGAGGCCGGCAGGCAAAGTCAACATTTGTCCCTGTTGGTGCTTGCCCATCCAACTGACAGTTTGCCTGTGGCTATGGCTGCTAATGGGAGCAGCTACACTGACGATGGTGCCTGTGGATCTGGACGTCACAACCCTGATCAAAATTTCCATAGCGTCTCACCACATGATCCACAATCATGTTCCTTGGTATTTACCCAAAGGAGGTGAAAACTTATGCCCACACAAAAACCTGCACACAGATGTTTATAGCAGCTGTATTCATAATTGCCAAAACTTGGAAGCAACCAAAATGTCCTTCAGTAGGTGAATGGATAAATACACTGTGGTACATCCAGACAATGGAATATTATTCAGCACTAAAGAGAAATGAGCCATCAAGTCATGAAAAGAAATGAGCTATCAAGTCTTGAAAAGGCATGGAGAAACCGTAAATCCATGTTATTAAGTGAAAGAAGCCTATCAAGTGAGAAGGCTACATACTGCATGATTCCAACTATATGACATTCTAGAAAAGGCAAAACTATGGAGACAGTAGAAAGATCAGTGGTTGTCAGGGGTGAGGAGGAAGGGAGGGATGAACTGGCAGAGCACAGAGGATTTTCAGGGCAGTGAAACTATTCTGTATACTATAATGGCAGATACATGTCATTATAATTTGTCCAAACCCATAGAATGTACAATGCCAAGAGTGAACTTTCATGTAGACTATGGACTTGGAGTGATCATGATGTGTCCATGCGGGTTCACTGTTATAATGAATGTCCCACTCTGGTAGGGGATGTTGACAGTGCGGGAGGCTGGGCGTCTGTGGGGCAGGAGGTATATGAGAACTCTCTGCATCTCCTGCTCAATTGTGCTGGGAACCTAAAACTGCTCTAAAAAATAAAGTCTATTAAAAAAAGAAAAAGAAAACCTTCTAAGGTGAAAGCTCCAAGCCTGGCACTGTGTTTGCCGTAGAGCCTGCCCCCTGCCTGCCCTGTCAGCCTCCTCTCCTGGGCTTCCTTGCTCACGTTCTGGAAAGATGAGGTGTGCAGTGATGTTTATAACATCTGCTGGGAACCCCTGCTCTCAAATGACCAAGTTAGAACGGCACTCTGGCTCTAACACGAATCAGTAGGTAGAAAACGTACTGCATGAAATCGAATTGTGGCTAAGAGCTCGGCTCTGGGGCCTGTCTCTTGGGTGTGAATCTTGGCTCTTCCAGGGGCTGGGGGCGCATTACTCAGCTGCTCGGAGCATGGCCTCTTTGCCTGTAACATGAGCGTTAAAGCATTCACCCCTCATAGGGTTTGGAGAGGAGGAAATGAGAGGAGGTGTACAAAGATGTGGCACAGGGCCTGGGGAGACAGAATAGCCTGGATGCAGCCCCTGAGAGCTGACAAGTAGAGGCAGAAGCTGATATCCTCAGACCTAGGGCTGAACAGGGAGACAGATGTCCAGCTTTGGGTCAGAGAGAGACTAATTTCTACCCGGGAAATCTGTAACAGCTTCTCGGTGAGGGGGAGATCAGAGCAAGTCTTCCAAGAAGGGGTCATTCCTCCATTCTTTCCTTTAACACAGATTTATGGAGCATTTGCCGTCTTCCAGGCAGGCCATGGGAACAGCCGGAGCAAAGGCCCTGAGGCAGGAGGGGCAGGCCATTCGAGGAAAACAACAAGTAGGCAGCAGTGAGCTCAGGCTGCATTTAGGGATGGTTGTGAGAGATCAGCGCGACAAGGTCCCAACGGCTCGGATTCCGTGGGACTGTCCGAACTTTGCCCAGAATGGTTAAGTGACTTGATACGGCAGAAAGGGAAGTATGCCACTCAGTCGTTCCTTCAAGAGGAGCCGCCGTGAAGAGGTAGTAGGCTGACCGTGTCTCTACATCTATGTCTGTATCCAGTCGCACAGAACAGACTAGAGGGAAACGAACCACAGGGTTAGCAGGAGTTATCTCTAAATAGAGACATTGCTTTCTTTATGCACGTCTATATTTAAAAAATATTCCTGGGCGGGCCTGTGGCTTAGCGGTTAAGTGCACTCGCTCCGCTACTGGCGGCCCGGGTTCGGATCCCGGGCGCACACCAACGCACCGCTTCTCCGGCCATGCTGAGGCCGCGTCCCACATGCAGCAACTAGAAGGATGTGCAACTATGACATACAACTATCTACTGGGGCTTTGGGGGAAAATAAATAAATAAATAAAATTATTTAAAAAAATATTCCTTTATAAACATGGATTATTTGAGTTATCTGAAATACATGTTTTAATACATTTTTGAAATTAAGGCTTGAGTGGGGTCTCAGCCTTCGGAGCACATGATGGAGAGTGTTTGTCCTTGGGGCCTCGAGGAACAGGCCTTGTCAGCACTATCGACAATGTTACTCCCACCCAGCAAGGAGCCTCAGCTCTGCTCTAAAAGGAGGAATTGCGATATGGTGTCAAGGTGACAAGCTTGGGCATAAGGCAGAGCTGGATTCAAATCCTGACTCTGCTATAAACTAGCTCGAGGATCTTGGGCAAAAGCTTTCCTCTCTTGAGTCTTAGTTTCCTTATCTGTAAAATGGGACCAACAGTAGTTTTTGTATCATAAGGATGCTCTGAGGATCCCACAAGCATTTGTGAAAATTACCTGTGACTGTCAGCTATTATTGTTACAGATGGGGAAACTGAGGCCCAGAAAGGGCATGGGAGCTGTCTAGGGTCAAACAGCAAGGAATGGGCAGAGTCAGGCTAGAATTCAAGGCTCCCTGAGCAGAGGCCAGGGCTCGCTCTCCCTCATCTCCACTCAGAGCAGACAGAGTGGAGACTCCCTCACAGTCTCTGGGCCCACCTCACTCGTGGTACAGACGAGGAAACCACTCAGAGCAGGACAGGAATGTGAATGAGTCACGAACACAGTGCTCTCCCCCACTCTCTCAGTGCTCCCCATAGTCTCTACACCCCCACGTTTGGTGACATTTATGATGTACAGTTTGAAATGTTATTGACACATCCGTCAAATGACTTAAGTGAGTCCCTACTCCCTTAATTCCCCCAGGCCTTCTACAGGAGGATGTTTACTTTGGAAGTGTTGGATGGGCGTGGTAAGAACTAGGGCTTCTCATCAGTTTCCGAGCTGTCCATCACCCAGTGCCACGTCTCCCGCAGCCGTGGGGTCGCTCACCATTTATAAAGTCTGCCCTACTGCAGAGCCCATCGGGAATCAACTGACGGAGATCTCCACAGCACACCGGAGAAATCCAGGTGAGCACAATGCAATGACACTCTGCAACTTGCCTTTTCATCAGATACCAAACCAGACTAAAGCTTTTGATAAATGTAACAGTTGCAAATTGTGATTGGTTCTAGCACAGAACATGAGAAATAGTGGCTTAAATAATGATGATAAGTCCACAGGTAGGCTGTTACACTGGCATGGGGGATCCTACCAGCTCTTCCCTTTGCTACCCCTAGGTTGTGGCTTTCATCTTCATGCTGATAAAATAGCTGCTGAGCTCCAACCATCATGTCTGATATCCAGTCAGGAAAAAGCAGGAGAGGAAGGTGAAAGCTGGATCAGCCCACTTTAAAGAAATTTTTTAGAAGCCACAGCCTACATCTTCCATTTAAATCTCATTGACCATCCCTGGTTGCAAAGGAAGTTGGGAAAGAAAGCTTTGTTAGGCCCATTTCTGCCCTCAAAAATAAAAAGTTTCTGTAAAGAAAGAGGGAAGAATGGACGAGAGCCCTCAGCTCTCCAAGCTTCCATTTCCTACTCTGTAAAATACGTGTATCAATATTTGTCTCATAGGACAGGGCTGTTCCAAGGATTTAGTGTAGACCCCCAGCACTCTTTGGGCATCCACAGATGCCCCCTGACCACTCTCTCCTCCTTCAGGCTCTGTTAGTCTGTGAATCTTCCAAAGGCACTGTCAGCACCAAGGAAGGATAAAGAGAAATATTCATTTGCATGTCCAAAATTAACTTCCATTTAGTGGCACTGGGCTAAGCAACTTTCAAAATGCTTGTTGAATCCTTCTTGCAACTTTATTTAGTGAGGCACAGGATAAAGTACACACAACTAACAGGCAGGAGAGCCAGGTTCTAGCCACTAACTATCAGTGGCCTCAGGAAAAGCATAACCTGCTCTAAGGTTCCCATCTGTAAAATGGGTATTGGGGTGGGTAGGAAGAAGTCCAAGTGAGTCCTTTGGTTCCCTGCCCCCTAAAACCCCTGCTCTATAGAGACTCTCTCGGAGTGGCCCTGAAGCTGACTCTATTTACCTGGGATCCCCACAGGTGCTACCCCAAGATGTTGAAGGTCTCAGGCCTCCTTCTCATTCTCTGTGGGCTGCTTGCCCTGTTGTCTGCTCGACATTTGAATATTTGAACCACTTGTGGGTCTGTTATATGGTACATTTTAATTTCTTGGATTTCAGTCCATTCGTCCTTTTTTTTAGCATGCCTTGTAATTTTTTATTAGATGCTGAACATCATGATGAAAAATTGTAGAGGCTCTGAATGATGTTATCTTTTTCCAAAGAGGAAGGAGGATAGCAGAAAGATGGGGTATACGTGGATTGCTTTGGTCCTGCTGATGCTTAGACACATGTTTTATTAGAGTGGAACTATTTTGGTTTCGCTCTTACTCCTCACAGGGAGCTTTTATTTCCAGGGCATGGCGCTTTCTCCCAGAGACGGCATAGTCTTCTGGGTCTTAACTGAAAGCCCAAGATGTCGTCTCAATGGGGTCTCAACTCCAACCAATGTCTCCCCAGCACCACACAGCGGAGGTGCTGAAATCTCTGCTTAGCCTTTTAACTTTCAGCTACTGTTTTCTGCTGGATGTTTTCTAGTCTTAGAGTCTAATGATTCTGACACCAACTACACTGTGTGTGGATTTTTCCCCACACCACCAAGCAATTCTCTGACACCAGGGGTGTCCTGCAATTCAACTCAGTTCTGACACTGTCTACCCAGAGACAGCGTCAGATTCCACAGGTTAAGGGCTGAGTCCCACAAGACTGCTCTTCATTTGGATGCCAGTCACAAGTCCAGGTTGCCACCTGTGCTTCTGGTCAACTGGCTATAAATCAGAGGTTCCCTCGATCCCCTTCTTGGGTTCTATTAATTTGCTAGAGCAGCTTACAGAACTCAGAGAAACATTTTACTTACTAGATTACCGGTTTATGATAAAAGGATACAACTCAGGATCAGACAGATGGAAGAAATATGTAGGGCAATGTATATGGGAAGGGACCTGGAGTTTCCATGCTCTCTCTGCCAGCACCACTCTTCCTGAATCTCCACGGGTCCACCAACCCAGAAGCTCTCTGAACCCCATCCTTTTGGGTTTTCATGGAGGCTTCATTACATAGGCATAATTGATTAAATCATTGGCCATTGGTGATTGAATTCAATCTTCAGTCCCTCTCGCCTCCCCGGAGGTGGGGGCTGGGGGAAGGGACTGAAAGTTCCAACCCTCTAATCACATGGTTGGCTCCACTGGCAACCAGCCCCCATCCTTAGGGGCTTTCCAAAAGTCACCTCATTAACATAAACTCAGGTGTGGTTGAAAGAGGTTTGTTAGGAATATCAAGATACCTTTATTGCTCAGATCACTTAGGAAATTCCAAGGGTGTTAGGAGCTCTTTAGGTGCTGGGAACAGAGACAAAGACCAAACATATATTTCTTATTATAAATCACAATATCACAAATTTCACACTGCACAGGTGAGCTCAAGAGTAGTCCAGCAAGTTGGGGGCAATCTGTACACCAATTTTGAGGCTCCTTCCCTGTGGTAGCTTCCTCTGGGATTTTGTCCCTCAAGTCCCAGCTACTCTAGAGGCCCCAAATTCCAACTTCTGCCTTCTCAGCCCAGTAAGAGTGACCTTTTTTGCTTGGACTCTATTTCACCATATGGCAATTTGGGAAATGACCTCAGGCAAAAGTTGGGGTGAATTTGGGGCTCGCCTCGAATGATACCCTTTCTCAAGAACCATAGGCTCTAGAACTGCACGCACATAGTAGCTCATCAATGCCCTCAAACCACTGTTTTGTGTATTTCCATCTTTTATAGTTGATTTCAGTGGGATGGTTAGTCATAACTCTGTCATGACCCCAACCAGAGCTCTGCAGCTGGAATGTGAATTTAGATCTCGTTGGGACTTTGTAACCACTCATTTGAGGGCCAGGGATGGGTTGAGGAGGTTCCACACAGGAAATGTTTGTGTCCTTACAAACACGACTTCAGGTCTGCTGATTCCCAGAAAACGCTTCCTGGATCGGGAATGTGGCAGGTGAGCCAAGAAAGACACCCACGTATGTTCATCCCAGTGTTGTCTGGGATGATAATGTGAAGCTGAAAGTAACAGAAATGGCCAAAAGGAGGAGACTGATGGAATGAACACTGGTCAATCCATATGCTAGAATATTCTGCAGAGAAAGAAGCAGAAGGATAGTCATGATGTGTTGCTATTTGACTGAGTGACTCTGTAGGAGCATGGCAGGAAAATCCCGGTTTTTCAAAATGTTGCATGAATGCCTGTGTGTGTATAAAGAAAAATTTCTGAAAAAAGATATAACAGAAGTTATCTCCGAGAATTGGTTTTTACTTACTTTTTTTCATCCTTTCTTTATATCTTTTTCTAATTTTTCTACTTGTCTAAAAACAGATCATCAAAGTTAAAATACTAAACCAAATGGGTAGCTTTACACGGGGTTGGTGACCAGGGCTGGGCTTAGAGACGCCACTGAATCTGTCAGGTGTCTGACGAGAGGATTGGGCCCTACCAGCATCTCCTGTTAATCTCAAGTCCCGACAGGGGCCATGTGTGCCGTCATTAAGCTGAAGCCCTGGGAAGTCCCACCAAAAGTGCGTGAATGTCGTTGACCCATCAAGGGGTGTGAGGTGAGCGTCAACGTCCCGAGGGCCCATCCCAGCCCAGGGAGCACACCATGTAAACAGAGGGTTCCAACCCAGAAGAGCTGCATGCCGGACCACAGTCTCCACGTTCTCTAGACTAACCCTCGTTCCTCGGCCAGAGGGACACGTCCCCACTGCTGAGCCTACCGTTTCCCAGCAACTCAGGAAGATACGTCCTTGAATCACCAAGTGAGAATCGTCATAACCACAAAACACATCAGCATAATGGCAACCATTTATGGAACACTTCTGGTGTGTGGGGTGCTGTGCTCGGTGCCCAAGACCAGGCTGAGAGGAAGGGATGGGTGTGTATCATCCACATTTTCCAGACGAGGAAACGGAAGCTCCCAGAGTCTGCGTGGCCCAAGTTATCCAACAAGTAGGTGCCAGAGCTGGGAGGTCTGTCTCTGAAGCCAGTGCGCATCAGCACCAATGCCTCCCTGTAGAATGAGAGTAAATGTCCTGCACACAGTGTCACGTGATGAATCGATTTGCCCTAAATCCCACACCTGGTAAGAGGCGGAGGGCTTCAGAGACTGTCCTCATAACTACTACACTACACAGCCTCTCGCAGGGGCGGTGAGCAGCCTACTGGGGAAGGCTGTGTCCCTGCAGGAAAAGTTGTATGGCCAGCTCGCTTGGGCATCAATATGGGTTGTGTGGCCTTGGGCTGGACCCTCCATTTCTCGCTCTATACTACGAGGAAAAACATGTCTCCTTCTGAGCCTCGATGACCCCATCCGTACGATGGGTCTGTGGCCGCCCCAGACCCAAACTCTGGGGCACCCTCTCAGAGAATGACCTTGCCACTGACTCTCTCTGCCCTGCTCCCCAACAGGTACCTGACCCAAGATGCTGAAGGTCTCTGGCCTCTTCATTCTCCTCTGCGGGCTGTTTGTCCCATCCTCTCAGACCATACCTGTAGATGCTTCCCAGATCACCGATGGTGAGACTGTCCTGCCTGGGGTCGTGTCTGACCGTGTCAGAGGCATAGGCTTCTCCCAGGAGTCCAGGTCATGAGCCAACGTTGGTTAAGTTCTTAGCATAATGCCTGGGACACAGTTAACACTGTTAATTGTTAGCTGTTCTGATCATCATTACATCACTATATTTAATCCTCTTGTCCCAAGATGCCCCTCTTTCCTGTCCCTTTGCCCTACATCTATTAAGTCCCACCATCAAAAGACCCTGCCCTGCCTAGACTGGCCCCTGCCCACCTCTCCTACCCCCCCACCCTCCTTCACTTCCCTCCTGCCACAGGAGCCTCCTCAACACATTAACCACACCCCTGGGCCTTTGCACTTGCTAGTCCCTCTGCCTGAAACACTCTTCCTCTAACTAAAACACAGCTGCCTCTCTTCCTTCAGGTCTCTGCTAAAGTGTCACATTTGCAGAAAGGCCTCCCTTGACCTCCCTGCATATATGAGCACCCTCACCCAATACTCTCGATTCCTCACTCTGCCTTCTATTTCTCCCTCACAGACAAAAATAGCATTCAGCAGAAGGCACCAGTGTGGCCACCGTGGTTAAAATATTAGAAATTGTTTTTTTTCTCTACTCTTTGGGAAATAGCCCCTGTTCAGAGACACTCCAGGTGGCTCCCCCTCATCACGCCAGCCACCCCAGCTTCACCCCCAGGACTCCAGCCTCTTCACCAAGCAAAATCTAAACAGTTCACAGCTGGCATAGCCCAGGAGCCCCAGGACCAGGCTACAGAGCTCTGGCTGACGCCCTTTCTGATCGGCCGGTGCCCGGGCCGAGCTAGTTGCTGACTGTTTTGAAGTCGGCCCTCTCCAGCACTGATCTGCACCCGCCTCCTTCTGTCCCCTTATTCACCGCCTTATCGTCTCTCCCTCCTCATCCCCACTAATGCCAGCTCCACGAGAGCGGAGAGCTCTGCCTCTTCCTGCTGGTGCAGCCCCTGCCCGGCGTGGCCCCGGCACATAGTGGACCCCTATAAACATCTGAACAATTGTGTCTGGACCTTGGCCCAACACCAAGCAGGCCAGAAAGGCCAGATGGATGAAGAGTAAGGGCCACACGTGGGACGTGCTCAGAGGTCAAGGTTGTGTCTGAGAATCTTTGGCACCTAAATGTCTAATTGGGTTTTGGCGGGGGGGGGTCCATGTTTTTCAGCTTTGACCCAAGAACTTATCGACAAGAAATTCCTTTCTCTGCTGGGTGCTATTAACCTAGACGGATTACTGAATACCATCCTCAGCCAAGTAACAGGCCTCCTGAACCTCCTGACCGGCTCACTCCTGGGGAACAACGTTGCGATGTGAGTGGCTTCCGGTCACCACCCCCAGGTCCAGGCTGTCCTGTTTTGTCGGTTTGTTAGAGCTCTCCCCACATTTCCTGACTCTGCAGAGTCCTTCCCTCAGCTGAAGCCCTTCCAGCTCCGATGGCCGGACGTCCACTGGCTGGGAGGAATCCCCACGGGGGGTGGAGTGAGGGCTGAAGAGGTGCTGAAGGCAGGAGTTCAGGCCCTTTGTCTGGGAAGAGAACTGCTGCCCATCAGCTGTGGGAGTCCCACCAGTCTCTTCCCCTCCCTGAGCCTCAACCTCTGCCCCTGTGCAACAGGGAATTACAGCGTCTACCCCCAGAGGACTGTTGTGACTATTAAATGAAATAACATATGTAAAAGCCTTGCACAGCTCTCTGCCCTCAGGAAGCCCCCCATCAGCGGTAACAATAACAACATCCTCTACAATGATAACGTGGTAATCATAATAATCGATGCTATCTGACCCCCAGAGTGTAGATGACCTGAGTCCCTTGTCTTAATACGTCCAAGACTCAACTGCTGGTTCCCACCTTTGTTTCCAACCTCCTCCTCCCGCCGCCCAGCTCACCTTAGCCCATGACAACTCCACTCATCCAGTTGCTCTGGCCAAAAATCTTGATGCTGTCCCTGGCTCCTCTCTTCCTCTCACACCCGTATCCAGTGTGTCAGCAAACCCTGTCAGCTCTACCTTCAAAACGCACCCGGGCATCTGACCGTTTTCTCCACCTCCTCTGGTCCGAGCCTCTATCATCTCCCCACTGACTTACTGCCCCAGATCCCCCTGCTTCCACTTCAAGCCCCCTCCCCCTCCCTTCTGTTCCACCAAAGAATTTTTCTAAGAAGTCGGATAGACTCCTTAACTCCTTTGCCCAAAGCCTCTGTTTGCCCTCAGAGCCAAACCCAAAGTCCTTACCATTGGCCACAAGGCTCCATGTGGCCTGGCCCTGACTATCTCTCACCTCTTCTCCAGCCATTCTCCCCTCACCCACTGCCCACCAGCCACACTGAGCCTGTTGCTGCTCCTCAAATGTGCCAGCCGTGTTTCAGCCTCAGGGCCTTTGCACTTGCTCTGTCTTCTGCCTGGCCCTTTCTTTCCCTGGCTATCCTCATGACTTGTACCCTCACTTTATTCATGACTCTCCCCAAATGTCATCTCCTATGAGAAGCCTTCCCTGACCACTTTGTCTAAAATTCCACTCTTCCCAATGTCACCCTCTGTCACCTGATCCTGCACCTGACACACTCTATACATATTTATTTACTGGGTTTGTTGTTTTACACATACACGCTCTCCCCAAGCATGTACTATCTATGGCTTTCAGTCTTTTACTTATTATTTATTCATTCGTTTATTCCCATCTGCTTGGTGCTGGCCAAAGGGCTGGACATGATTATTCTGGAATTCATTAAGGCAAGAGCCTCGTTTTCTCACGGGTATATTCCCAATGCTTATAACACCCAGTGACCGTGAATAAATTACATGATTAACGGGTGAGTAACCGTCTTGGCATACATTCAGCTTCTGCTCTGCGAGGGACCAGCCCTTCCACAAAGGGGGGTCCACCTGCAGCTGGAACCACAACCTTTCTCTGTCGTGCTGTCTGTTCCCCCAGAATACGGCTGCAAGACCCTCGACTCCTCCAGCTCTCCCTCCACTTCACCCCTGGTAGCAAGGAGGTTGAGTTATGGATACCGTGCTCATCTTCCTTGTATGTGAAGTAAGTAACAGCTGCAAGTTTCACGCCCAGCGCCTCCACTTTTGCACAGGTGTGTGGGGTGTGGGACGCAGCCACAGCTAAAGGACGTCCACACACTCTCTGCAAGACTCATTGTGTGGTTGAGGCAAAACCCTCACTCTCTCTGGGCCTTGGTCACCCTACGTGTAAAATTAGGATCCCGTAGAATACTTGAATGCTCCCAACTTGGGGCCCCTCTAGGGAAAGCCAGGGAGGCGAGCAGGTTTCCTTCCGCTGCCTCACGCAGAGAGCCCCCACCTTCATTTATCTGGACTTCATGAGCCCACTCAGCTCTGATTGAATATAACCTAAGACAGGAAGACAGAATCTGCTCTAGACCCCAGCGCTCCTTGGCCCCATTGCCTAGAGATGCCTAGAGATTGCCCACAGGTGTGTTTTGTTTGGTCTGCACGGTGTATTTTCAGAGAGGGCAGGCATTCTTCAGTTCATCACAGCCTTCACCTCTCCCCGTGAAACTAGCCCCTGGTCTACTTGATTCATTTCCATTTCAAGCCTGGCCCTTGAGGCAGTGGACTTCAAGACCTCTAAAAGAGTACTTTTCAAGGTCATGGTTTCTCAGCTTTGATAGGATGCCATCCTTAAAATCAACCTTTTCCCTTCTAACTGTCCCCAGAGCCAGAGGCGGCAGGTATTAGGTGTGTGCCCTGAATGCAGACCTATCTGGTTTAGCCCCTGGCTGGATGCACAACTTGGAGACAGCCATTCCCATTCTGCAGTCCTGAGTCACCTCTTTTGAAAAATGAGGAAATGACCTTAACTGGGTGATATTGAGGGTTCTGTGCAAACATGGGGAACCCTAGTTCTAGAAACAAACAAGGGTGTGGTGAGCTCTGAGGTTCCCTCCCACCAGCCTTAACTCTTCCCTCCAACAGGTTGTCGCTTCTTGATCCCCTCATACTTAACGTGCAGATAAATATCAGAGTCCAGCTTCTTCTGGAGAGCGGCATAGATGGCAAATACCGACTCGTTGTTGGGCGTTGCAGACTCTTGCCTGAAACTATACAGCTCCAATCTGGAACTCTGTGAGTTTTCCATCTTTCTCTCTCCACATCCAGCTGGTCATGATGAAGCCCTCAATGAGGCCTCATCTGGAAGATGTCACTAGCAAAACAATACCTTCCAGAATGAGCATTTTGTGCATATGGGGATGCGCATCTTTAAATAGAACTTTATGTCAAGCTAAAATTTTTTTTATTGTAAAAACAATAATTTCACTAACATGAAAAGAGGTTCACTGAATGGTGCTGAGGACAAAGAAAACAGGATCCCTTGATTACTGTTGACATTTAGTTTATTTCTAAATATTTTGCTATTATAAATAATCCTGAACCTTTGGTACAGAAAGTCTTTCCAGAAATAGAATTATTTCCTTATTGTAAGTTCCCAGAGTTATTGAAAAAGTATAAACAGTTTTATGACTTTTAAATTTTGTGTGTGTGTGTGTGAGGAAGATTAGCCCTGAGCTAACATTTGTTGCCAATCTCCTCTTGGCCCTGGGCTAACATCCGTGCCTGTCTTCCTCCACTTTATGTGGGAGGCCTGCCACAGCATGGCTTGATGAGTGGTGCATAGGTCCGTGCCTGGGATCCGAACCTGCAAACCCCGGGCCGCCGAAGTGGAGCGCACAAATTTAACCACTACGCCACCAGGCCGGCCCCATGACTTTTAAACTTTAAGGCAAATAATAGTCGAAAGGCATGCCAAATCACTTACCACATACTTCTCCAACAGAACTGAACTCAGTGATAGAGTTCTATCTGGCACTGATGAGTTCTACCCCATACCCAATCAGTGCCAATTAGGCTCATCTTCACAACTTTTCTCTTCAGTAGGTAGAAAATCCCATGGATGTCATTATTTTCATTTTTTTGACTACCAGTTAAGCAAAGATTTCATCCTTTGCTTACTAATCTGTGACATTTCCTCTTCAGAGAAACTGGTTTCAGAGGTTTGCCCTTTTATTATCTAAGGTTTTAGTGTTTTCTCCTAAATTTGTAATCTCTTTTTTACAATCTTCTTTGGTAAGATTTTTTTTTTAAATATAGGCTGACATCCACGATTAACTGAATCCAATAGTCATCACCAATCTATTTTATACCCTGTCTTTTTCATTCATGAATTCTTTATTTTGATTCATCTCCCACTTGCTCACTGTTTCAAGAAAGATCTGAGTATGGAATCCTTTCTGAGCCCTTACAGGTCTGGTGATGTCGTCCTGTCATGTTCAAAGATAAGTGAGAACAAGGCCTGATACGGTACCCTTGACTCACAGCCATCTCCCCCTAGGAAAACTCTGTGATTACGACTCCCATGTCTTTTGATTTGTTGAAGAAAACCAGTTCTTCCTTAAGGGAAATCTGAGACTTGAGGCTGGAAGTGACAGATTAGCTGGTTTATATGCAAGCTCTTTATAGAATAAAGACACAAACCCGTTGCCTGAGAATTGGACAGATTTACCCTAACCTGTAAGGATTCAGACTGAGTCAGGAACGTGACGACACCCTTTCACTGCTGCTTCCTGCTTCTTTCTCTTCTCCCCCGACTGAAGATGATACTATACTATTCCTTCCATGAAGGTATGACCATCTGGCTGAGGAGATAAGCTCTATTGGAGCGTTAGATAATCGGAGAAATGGGAAAGTGCACAGCAAAGAGAGAACTCAGAGCTGGCTAGAGAAGTCAGGAAGGGCTTTCTGGAGGAAGCCAGTGGGCTGGACCTAAAAGGGTAGTAGAAGCTGAAGAAAGCATTCCAGGAAAGAGAAACAAAATGGGCACAAAGAGGAGAATGATGGGAAACAACAATGAGGGCAAAGTGATTTAAATTGAAAGATTAATTTTAAGGAGCCCTAAGAGGTAGGTCAGAGTAGAAGGGCAAGGCAGGGTCATGGAACGCTGTGGAAACAAGGAGTTGACTTGAAGCAATTTGGGGTCAATTGAGCAAAGAAGTGATATAAAGAAAGGAGAGTTTGGGAAAAATTAATCTGTTCTACCAACTTCTTTCACTCTTTATTTAGACTGACTCCAACAACAAGTCTGATTGTGAAAAATATAGAGACAAACCTGGAAACCTTCATAATCAATGATTTGGTAGCAGAAGTAAGTATATAAACCCAGGTTACTTCAGTTTTTGAGTCTGAGACCCAGAGCTTGGTGGGTTGGATCTTAATAAACCGGAAGGAAATCTCCCAGGAAGGAGCGTTAGAGGAAGCTGCGTTTATTAAGCTCCCGTTTGGCAACCAGGCACTGGTGAAGTGCTTCACAGACATTATTTAATTCTTCAAGTCAAAATCAGCATCTGTGTGACCAGAGGTAAGTTGATAAGCCTCTCCAAGGCTCAGTTTTCTTATCTGTAAAATGAGTATAAGTAATCATGAAATTAACAGCTAACATTCACTAAGCATGCAGACACGGTGCCAAGCATCTTCCATGAATTTTCTTATCTCATCCCCCTAACAATCTTATACTCCAGGTGACAATACTATCTCTGTTTTCCAGATTGAGGAAAAAGTTCCAGAGAGGGTCGATGACTTACCCAAGTCATATAGCTGCTAGATGGCTCAGCTGACATGTGACCCCAGGGCAGTCTGTCCCCAAAACCCCTCTACCTTGCTGTTCCCTACCATGAGTTGGCTTAGAAGGAGAACTTGCTTTGATTACCACCATTTATGCTCCATTGGTAGAGTCCTCCTCCTGACTCTTGCGTATTTCCTTGTCTTTCAGCTATGTCCCTTCCTTAATTCATTGCTCTCCAACCTGGATCTGCAGCTGGTGAATGATCTGATTAGTAAGTGCTCACGGTGGGAAGGAACAATACCACTCCAGGAGAAAGCTCAGACTGCTCCTTTACCCTTTTCATCTCATATCCCCTTCCCTGACCCTGACACTTCTCCCAGACCAAAACTCCCTTCCCTGCTGAGGCAGAATGGTCCCTAATAATAACAGCCCTAATAAACTCAGCTGCCATTTGCTGAGGGAGCCCTGGGTGCCACACCCAGGGTTAAGCACTCTGCCTGCACCAGCCACTGAACCTCCACCATTAGCTAAGTACCTGCTGGTTTCACTTCTATTCTGGTCTCCAAAGCCTAGAGAAGCCGAGATATAAATGGAGGCTACTTGGGGGGAGAAAAGCTGCCCAATACCTCCTTTACCCTCCTCCTACATTATATGATGTTGCATTATGAGCAGAAAATTGGTCTGGTTTCAACCCAGAGAAAAAATGCCTCCTTCCAGTAGCCTCTACCTCCAAGCATCTGAAGTTTCCACATCTGCCGGAACCCAAAGCAACAAATGCAAGATTGAATCTCAGCAGCTCAGGCCCCCAGCAGGAATCTGAAAACCAATAGAATTGCTGGGTCGAAAGGACTCTTACTGAATATTCACTAGTCCTACCAAGTGCTGGATGCTGGAGTTTCTAAAGTTCCTTTAGGTGGCTCTCCCAGCAAGCAATTTCCTGGCCTCTGCTCACACACCTCCATTGACAGGGAGCTCACTATTTATGAAGTAGGAGGCTTGAGGCAGTTAATCTGGATGAGACGTGAAGCTCCCAAAACTTGGTTCCCAGGCTCACTCAAAGTAAATGTGAGTGGGGTAGCTCAACCAACACCCTTGCTCTGCTGATACTAGGCCACCACTTTGGAGAAGCAGCAGGCTAATGGGGACTCTGGCTGCTCTAATGCCAATTTCCTCCACTGTCTCATTTCAACATACAGCTCTTAAGTGATTAGGTTGAGGGAGAGAAGTTGTTCCCAATTTATAGACGAGGAAACCCAGAACTGTCAGTGAAGTGATCAGAGACAGCCAGTGACAAAGCAGAGCCTCCTGTCTCCAAGCCTTTGGCTCATTCTCCAGTGGGGCAAGGGAAAACCCCTTTGGCCTGTCTGCTCCTCCCTCACTCCCACTGTCTGAGGTATCATTTTTGCTTTCTAGATCTGATACTGCAGAATGCCAGCCTCCAAGTTGGCATCTAAATATCCCCAAAGTGAAGGAGCCACATTTGCATCAATTCGGTGAGAAACCAGCACATATTTCCTCCCTTAGTGATGGTGCTTGGCCTTTAGGGTCATTATAAATGTGTCATTCATTCATTTATAAAATTTCAGGTAAGCATCTACTGTGTGCTAAATGCGATGGATACAGCCATGAACAACACAAAGACTCTGCTCTCCTGGAGCTTATATCATTGTTGGGCATCCTAACAATGAACTAGGAAGTAAATACAATCAACTAAATTCCAGAGGGTAGTGGGTACTACGAAGAAAACAAAGTAGGAGGATGTGAGAGAGAGTGACTGGGGTGGGGGCAGGGAGGGAGGCAGCCAATTAAGAGAGTATAGGCAAGCAGAGGCTCTTGAAGGAGGAGACATTTCAGCTGAGCCCTGAATAATAAGGCAAGAGTTGTGCCAAGACCCAGGGAAGAACATCACAGGCAGGAGGATGAGCATGTGCAAAAGCCCTGAGGCAGGAATGAGCTTTCCTTTATGAAGCAAAGAAAGGAGGGCAACATGGCTGGAGTGTGGAAGAGGCTCAGTTATATGAGGTATCTTTAAAGGATGCTATTTGGTGATGAAAAAGAGGGGGATTTCTATAAAAAGAGATTTCGTTATTCATTTATCATATATTTATTTGCAACTATTCTGTGCTGAATACACTCTGCTCAAGTGTTACCATCTCAGGTCTCTCAAAAAAGGCACAACTGCCACTCTCTGCTTCATTTTTCTTCATAACATTCTTTACTATCTGACTTCCTACTATATTACTTGTTTCTTTTCTGTCTCTCCTACTAGAATGTAGACTTCATGAAGGCAAGGACTTTATCTTATTCCCTGTTTTATCCCTGGTGCCCGGATTACAAAGATGAATCACACCTGGCCCCTGACCTCAAGAGCCTCCAGCCTAGTAAGGGATAAGACAAATAAACAGGCAATTTTGTGTGCAGTAAGGTGCTCTGGTTGAGGTTCTCTGGAAGTAGAGAAGCAAGACCCAGCAGCTGTGTCAGGGGACTTCCGGGAGGGCTTCACAGAGCAGACAGAATTTAAGCTGGATGTTGAAGGATGATTAAGAATTTCTTTGTGGGAAAAGTCATTAAAAGCAGAGGATACAATATGTGCAAATACACAAGAGGAGGGAAGGACCTGGTTCTCTAGACAGTGGAAAGAAGCTCTGGGTCCCTGGTCATAGGAGTCGTGGGGGATGGAGGCATCCTCTTCTGAGGAGTAAAGATAAGTTTGTAGTGAAATGTACACATGCTTTCTGAAGACACATGCTTTCTGATGGGTTAAGCCACCAAGAAGAAGGTACAGTCTATGACAGGGGACATAAACTGAATGGCCAACACCATAATTGAATCTATGTCCTTAGGTTGATTAGCTTAGTTATGGAATACTCTAAACCAATGCTGTCCAACGGAAATATAACACAAAACACACAAGTGATTTTGAGTTTTCCAGTAATGACATTTTTAAAAGGAAAAAAAAACAGATTATATTAATTTCAGTAACATATTTTATTTACCCAATGTATCCAAAATATTATCATGTCAACATGAGTCAATGTAAAATTGTTAATGAAATATTTTACATTGTATTTTTCGTGCTAAGTTTTTGATATCTAGTGTATATTTTACACTCACAGCACACTTCAATTTGGACTGGGTGCATTTCAAGTGCTCAATATGCACAAGTGGCTAGCAGCTGCCGTATTGGACAGTGCAGGTCTAACTAAGCTAATTTGTTGCCAGTTGTAAAACTTTCAAAGGCCTAGAGCATCTCATTTTATCCCCACCATTACATCTAGGCTGCCATATATCACAAAAGTCCCAAACTGTGGCCCTTATGTCATACTCTGTTCACAGACATACTTGGTTCTGCCTAGAAAGTGTTTTAGAAATGTGAATGAGTTGTCAATATTAAAAGTAAGAAATATGTCTTGTGATCAACCAGAGCATCTGGCAATATTTTATATCCTTCTGTCATGAAGTAGGCCAAGGTGAGGAAGAGACTCCATCTTAGTTGATGAGAGTTCAGGGAACAGAGAGAAACTGGTATCCAGGGCTAGGCAGTGGATGGGTGTCCAGACAGGATCTTGGTTCAGCACCATGGATAGTGGACAGCAGTACCAGTGTCAAGTGGGTGGGGGACAGGGAAAAGCTCTCAGCTTTGACTCACAGCCTGCTTAGAAAAGGTACGAAGTTGACTAATATCCTGATTATCTCACACAGAATCAGGTCCTGCTTACTGGTCTCCTTCCTGGAATGTCCTCCACACTACAGGCTACCACCTACGTAGATATTCATGTTGATTATTCAGCTGCTGCCTGCAATTTCATTACCCACCCTGGACCCAAAGATCCACTACTTTTCTGGCTATGGAGGCTGTTTCCCTGTAAATCCTCACCAGAATCAATGTGCTAATTCCCTGTAGTCTTCACATAATAAATTTTTGCATCTCTGAAATGTGGGCTGTCCTGCTTCCGTAGTGCAATGTGCGCAGGGGCAACAATAGCTAGAGATGGTGGTGGATCTGGTCATAATGACCAAAGTTTGGGAGGTGGGCGAGGATGCCTGGGTTAGTTTAGCTTTTATCTCATAAATACCTAAACACTCTGGCCTGGAGTTTCTCGAAAACAAAGTAACAGGGCTTCCCGTCTTGTCTGAGATGTTTTCTAAACTGATTCTGTGACCTTGGGTAGCTCCCCGCTCTTGGCCACAGTCTCCTCACTGTGAAGTTCTCTTACTCCCACTGTCTGAGGTATCTGGGATCAAATACTGTACCAGTCAGAGTCTGATAAAAAACAAAACAAAAACAAAAAAACCACATGTTTAAGAAATAATTTAATATAAAGAAATAATTCAATAGAAAGAAATAGTTAAATAGTACTGGAAGACTGAGAAGGCAGAAGAGTAATACTGAGTTGTCACATGGATAGTAGCTGTAAGAGGTAGCTTACTGGTCTCCTTCCTATGTCCTCCACACTACAGGCCACCACCTATGTTGGTGTCTTGACATGAGTACAGCCATGTTTGGCCGCTCCATTGACCTACGGCCACCAGCACAAAAAGAAATATAAAAGCTGCTTTCTGTGTGGTGGGAACTGGCCCTTCTCCCACAGAGAGAGTTGCAAGTTGTAACATTTCAAGGCTCTTGGAGCGTCGTAGCAC